TTTTTATTTTTATTTTGTTGAGAGCTTCTTTGGAGTAAGTTAAATTAAGATATTTATTTTATTTTTGAAATGATATAATTATTTGAAAACAGCTATTAGATATTGCTAGTGAAGAAAACCAATAAACGACTCTGTACTTCTGAATTGCTGAGTTAAAATGCAAACTTAATCAATCCACCATTCTTACCTATGGCGTTTTTGTCAGAAGCCTTTTCGTACACCCAGATTTCTTTCGATCCTCTGGAAACCACGCACATTAGGCCTGCGTTTTTTAACCCTGTGTTGAGAGTTATGAGCTTTGTGAAAAGGCTAACCAATTATATTTAATAGGATACTTTACGCCCAATTTCAGCGTGCATAGGCGGCATCTTTCAACACGCCATCTTTCGACATGCTATGTAAACGGCAGAAAGACTGTTTAACTGCGAAAACGGCAGTTGTTTCGGTTATTAGCGGAAGAAATGACAAATACATGATAATTACTGAACTCAAATGGCTGAAGACGATTGTGGACTTCGCATGTTTCCCGGTTTACGGGATAATTCAAACGGTTTTAGTGTAGTTGATCAGCTCTCAATAGTGACCTCCGGTAGAATTGGGCCCCTACCACTTGTAATTTTCGCAAGGTGTAAACATTCTAAAGAGTTGATTTAATTCTCCCGGAATAACTTCTTGATATTCCTAACCTTAGTTTGATGTCAAATAAATCCATCTTTCATCACTAAAATTCGTGTTCGACCGTAAATAAGTCCGGTTGTACTTACAGTTTTGACGTAGGCCAGGTTACGTAGCATGTCGAAAGATGGGATGTCGAGAGATGTCACCTATGCGCGTAACACTGAAAGCAGGTGTAATTCAGTAATCTCATTATCTCTTCTTAATGTTATCTAATCATAACAAAACCAAAAGAATAATGCAATCAGCTGCTACCTTGACAGCTGCGTTTTGTGTACTTTTTTTCATTCTATTATTATCAAGCTCCGTTGGCGTCAATTGCTGCCTCTCATAAAGCCTTCACGCATGTATAATGAATAAGAAATTCAATTCCCGGCAATGGTAAATGTGTTGGGCTTGTGCGCGCATGCTCCCCGAGTAAGCTGGGCTGCTAACAAACCAAACCTAACAGACCTAGCTCACGCGGTAGAGCTGGGAACGAGCTTGAGAAAACGTTACCCGAGTGAGTGACCGAGTGTTACCGTTACCTTCGACGTGAAGGTTTTGGGTACCGCTTTCCTTCATATGATATCGATAACAACATATTTTCTTGCAAAAAGGCATGTATAATAGGCTCAATGTAAACATGGTTAACAAAAGGTAGCATTTCTGACTTTCCATTTGCCGGACAGGTTAGGACTATCAAGTAAGGGTAATTGAATGTGTATCAAACAGTTATATTAGTTTTCTGAAAAATAAATATGGAGAATATAAAGGAAGCTTAATTTATAGAGTTAACGCTATCAGCCTAAAGCATTTCGGTATAAATATCTGACAATAAATAGGCCTACGAATGAGTCAAATAAGTAATTTGAAGATGAGCTATCAGCTATCCTGTAATTAAATCAGCCATCCTGTAAATAAAAAAAAACAGTACTGCAAGTTGTTAATTTACTTGGTCAGTTACTTTAGTGAAACATCGCGCATGTACTTACCCATCTGCGACCAGTCATCAGTGTATGTTTTCATCACTTGAGTGCATTTGGTGCTGTCTCCATTGCAAACTCCACAACGATCAAATGAAAAGCCAGATTCAATCCCATAATCACACCCAACAGGCTATGAAAATAGGAAAGGAATTGTTTGTAACTGTATCATAAGTTTATTCCGTGTTTCATGAAAATACAGTTAAAATACAGTACACAAATTAAGCTACTCCTTCAATTAATGTAAGAGTATCTTGCATGGTCTATTTTCGAAGACTAATTATAAAATCTTTTTCATCTTGGTTATTTTTAGAAGATACCTTTCTAAAAGGCATTTCAAAACAGGTTGGTCTCTGTAGCCAAATACCTTTTAAGTTATTTACGATCTTGAAAAGCTTCTTAGATGCTCGTTATTCCACCAACAGGTCTAGTTTCGCCCATTCTTAATGAGCAAGTAATTCATAAAAACACTCGAAAAAAAAAAAAAAA